AAAAAAAATGGTCATAATTAACTATGTTTTTAAAATAAACAATTATATTTTATAATCAATTATATACTTTTTGTATTCAATTATATATGCATAAAATTACTTCACAATCCATTATAATCAACTATATTGCATTTTGATTTCTGTACCAGGATATCTACTTTCCCATACTGAGCTACATTGTTCTTTTGGTCGGCTACTTCAGATTCTTTTTGCAGGATCTGGAGATTACCAAACAGGTCCTATGTGGTTCCCATCTATCCTAGAAAGACAATCCAAGAGATTATTTGGCTTGGCTCAGGATTTTGTTATTCATAGTACAACAATTCATGCAAAAAAGTAATCACCATACAATGATTTAATCAATTACTTTGGGTTTAAAATCAATTATTTTTTAACATAACCACTTATTTGAATATAATTTATTTTTTTTAAGTATTTAATTATTTTATTTAGGAAAATTTTTTAAAAATTTTTTATTAAGAAATATAATCTGACATATATAGTCAATTATATCATATATAATCGATTATATGTTTTTGATCTTGGATTTATTTCTTTCTTAGACCCAGCCATGGTTTTGATCTTTGCTGGCTTCCCTGGATTGTTTTTTCGAGATCCTTAGCAACCCTGCAGGCCTTAGGGTGTGTTTGGTTGGCCAAATGTCCTGAAAATTAAATTCAGAAAAGCCATAAAGTTAAGCCAATTAACGTGGTCCGGGATTTTGAAAAATGTCTTTGGGATATGGTCAGTTAACTTATCCAAAAGTTTTTCATCCCATGTAAACTTTTTGCCTCGAATTAAAATCCGGCCAATATAGCAAACTATAACACATTATAGTTGGTTATTTTTTATGATATTCTAAGAGTATAAGTTAAACGTATATTAAATATATCTTTTTATTATAAATTTATATTAAAAGAATAAAAATTAACATTTAAACGACTTAAATAGTTAAGTGGTAATTTCATTCTACTGAAAGTAAAAGATCTTGAGTTCAAGTCGCATAGCATGTGTATAAAGTGAGATAAGGGATTGGAGAGGGTTGCCTCCCATTGTGCAACAAACATAAAAAAAAAAATTTTAATTTATCAATTGTCTAATTAAATTCACTTGACATTAAAATTAATATCAACTTTTATATTTTTTTATATACATTTATAATAAAAAATACTCAACCTATACTCTAAAGATATAGATTTTTTATTTCGATCAACCATAATTGGTTTTTTTTTTTATATATATATATTAACTTCTGAGTATCTGATAACTACATTGGATCCCGACTAATCCAAAATTGAGCCATGTCAGACGCCATTAGAGAGAAGCTCTCTCAGTGTCTATTTTTTCATTCACATAACTCAAAGTCGAGATATTATTTAAAAGGAACCAAACTTCTTCCACTCAAACTAATAAACTATTGGTACCATAATTGGTTATAAATTGTTATAAGTGACCATAACTTATTCTTTTTGCCTAAGGTTTTGAGCCCGAGCTGATGATTTTGATGCTGCCTCCCCCAATTTTACCGGAAAGTTGGACACTCAATACACCTTAAGTGAAATATTTAACAAAAAAAAATTATGTATAATAAGTAAAAATATTTTTAATTATCATTTATTTATTATATAAAATTATTTAATTAAATTTATACATAAATTAAATAAAATAACTAAATTAAACTAAAAGGAATTTATAATTATTAACAAATCAAACCATACGTCACACGATTGCATATTTTTAAATAAATTTAAATAGTCGTTCGATCATTACATTTGCCCTATATTTACCTCGGAACAACTGATATATAAAATTGAGAATTATTAAAAATTAAAACATAAAAAAAAAAAGAGAATTATTGAAATTAATTCTATACCATCATTTCATTTAAAATTTCTAATATAATTAATTGAGAAACATTCTTGTACAAATTCATATCAAATTCACATTAGTTACTTAATGAAGAAATACAAAATCAACTAAATTAATATGTAAATAATTAATGTATATACAGAAATATATTATAAAACATGATTGAAAATAAATCAGTTAATGTACGTAAAAAATAAATTAATATGTTTGATTGAGAATATAATTATTGCATAAATAACATACTAAAAAGGCAACTTAATTTGACAGTGAAAATCTTGTTAGAATTGATGAACTACAAAATGAGTGAAAAAATGTTAGAAAAAATTACAAAAAAATGAAGAATAGGAAGATGAAAATCGTTGAAAATTCGTCGGAAAACTACAAATCATCATAAAACTTACCAGTCACAGTAGATCGGGTGATATTTAAGAGGGCTGTGCAATGAAAATTTCCTATTTCCATCAACAATAAACAAAAACTCACCAAAATTGAAAGAAAATGCAAGGAAAAATTCCTAAAACAATTTAAACAGGCCAAACTTACCTTTGGGGCATACGAGGAGGCGAAATCCAGCAAATTATGGAGCTTCTATGGCTCGATTTGGTGTTGGAATGGAGAGGGAGGAGGAGATGGAGTTTGGAAGGAAGAAGGTGAAATGCAGAGGGAAGGGAGTTCGAGGTGTTTTGGGAAAAGAAAGGGGCTTTTGCTGAGATGTGGTGCAATGCTTTACACGGACTGATTAAGTGCAGTCCATTGCAAGCTAAAATGTCAGCCTTGTCAATTTTCAAGGCAAATCATCAACGTACCATGCAAGCAATGCACAATAAACAGAAAGGAAAAAAAAAAGTCACCAACGTGAATACATTGCTCAATTTCCTAAATAGTTGAATTGAGTTAATATTTGCTAACACTGAGATTCCGAACACGACCTAGCATTGCAAGCTACGTTGGTTAATATATGACACCAAATAAAATTTTTATGAGTAGAGTCAATCTTATGTTAAAAATTAAGATAGTTTAATTTTTAATAAAGATTTATTAATATAATGTAATTTTAAGATTTTTTTTTACTTAATTTTTGCAGGTTTAATTTAACAAATCATCTATTAATTTTTATATTTTTTTTCAGTTTTGTCCATTGTCTTTGAATTCTTCCAACCCTATTTACTATCTTTCAAATTTATTTCAATTTCGTCTAATGTGTTATCTTTAACGGAGATCTTTCTATTCTATTAAGGAACAGTTAGTCCTTTAACTATATATTTTTTTATCTTTTAGTCCTCAAATTTATATTTGCTATAAAAACAACTTTTATTCTTAAAATTATTATTTCTTGGTTCTAATACCAGATTCTTCTATGGATTTTTGGAACTTAACTCAGATTACTATTGACTAATGAATAGCTAGTATGTTAAACTTAGTGAGCGTGAAATTAGATCTACTAAACTGCTAATAAAGATAATTTTTGCTTGGCCTTTTTTAATCTTTTAGATCTTCATTTAAATCTGCAACTGTTTGCTTCAACTTTCTGAGATTTTTAGATAGATGATAATCATTTTCAATATTACTTATTTTTTCTAAAAATTTTTCGATTTTATTTCTATAATATTCGCATTGCTACTCATAAACTATCTTATCTACAACAATTTCTTGAATAAAATCAAGCATCTTAAATTATAATGGTTTAATATAGAATCGATTTTTCTATTCAAAATATAAGAGGTCAAGTACTATTTCCCCATCATTTCTCATCTCAAAAATAATCTAATGTTAAAGAAGAATAAAGTTGTTTATATGCTCACCTTGTTTCCGCATGATAAAATAAATGAGTTAGAATTTTACTTGAAAATCCTTCGGACTAGTCTTTAGTTAAGCAAATGCTTCCTTTATCTAACCCTTAATGCCAAACTTAGGTTAAAATGGGTATTCAGACAGGACAAGTGACTTCACTGCTGCCTTAGTTTCTTTAGGATTCTTCTCATTTTATTTTATGATAGAAATAAAGAAGGATAGAAACACAAGGATTATTC